CCAAAACCTTTCTGTAAAACCTTAGTCTTATCAAAGTCGATTTTGTGTCCCGTTCCTGTCGAATGCAGTGCAGTCGCTGAGTTGATTTCTAGCTTCTTCAAGTCTGCAGAGGTCTTTGGAACCACCTTTAGACATTGTTTACGCTCTTTCACTCATATATTTACTTGTCGGGAAGTTTCTCCTACATATACAATCCCCACAATTGATCTGGTATACGCAGTTCTGCTGGTTTTCTTGTTCTATTTTATCCTTAACCTTCACCAGTAATGAGCGTAAGGTGTTAGTTGCACGAAAATACACTCTTATGTTATGATCGTTAAGGATTGGCTTTATTTCATCGGATGTTTCTTTACGGTAAGGAATCACCCCTGTACTAACCCATTTCTTAGCATCAGGTTTCCATTCATCATTGTCTTCACATTTTAAATATCTTTTTATGAAGATTTTAGGATAATTATTTGATTCAAGAGTGGATTGAACCAATTTTAGTTCCTTGCTAATATCTTCCTGCTCAGTAACTAGCCGTTTGGCTCTGTTGATTAGATTCTTGGCCACAGTTACTTTGATGGTAAATGCGTGAGCTGAATAGTAATCTAGGTATCTATCCGAATTTGTCGGCTTTCTGAAAATGTTTATTTTAAATTTGCCATCTAATTTTCTTTTTACTAAACAGTCCAGGAACGCCAGCTCATTCTCATTGGATTCAACCTCTTTGGAAAACTTAATAGTTTCTGACATATTGTTTATTAAGTGAAATAGTTCATTTAACAAACTACGTTTGATTATGATGAAGGTATCATCTACGTATCTTAACCACATCTTTGGGGGAATAGGGCATCTCATAATTGCATTTGTTTCTAATGAGTGCATAAACAGATTGGCGACTAGCGGAGACACTGGTGATCCTATAGCAATGCCTCCTGTTTGGCGATAAAGAACCCCTCTAAACGTAAATAACGTGGATCAAAGACACAATTCTAATACCTTCATAATTTCATCGGGATTTAAAGGACAACGACCACTGAGTTCGTCGTCAGCACAAAGTAAATTATAAATAATACTTAAAGAATCATTAACGGGAACATTCGTGAATAATGAATAAACATCGAAACTTGCCATTATTTCATCTTCTTCAATATTAGTCAAGTTTACTTTCCTCTTATTATATTATGTGTCTAGTATTTTATTACAGTTCAAAAGCTACCCTCTTTATATTTTATGACAGCACTGGATATCTGTCAGCCCTTGTGCTTGAACCTACATTCAGTTCAGTGTTCCCCATTGCATTTGGTGTTTGTTTGTAGTATGTGTGTATTTTGTGGTATTCATTTTCTTGAAAATCCCCATTCAGTCATATGAAAAAGAGAAGACGTTCAGCGAAGAGACTCTTTTCGGCGAATTCATTCACATAGCTGTACAATCGCATTTATACATAATTATTTGTGTGTGTGTACATGAGGTTTGTCAAGTTTAAATAATTTATTAGTTAATACAAGAATGATGTAATATAGAAACAAAGTTAATCAGACAGCAACTAAAGTAAGATTGAGTTAGTAAGCTAGGTGACGTAATATAATTGACTAAAATGTTTCAACCTAGGTCAGGACAGCAACAGAGGTAATTACAGGTAGAGACTAATTAGAAGTGAAATTGAGCAAATAAGTTGGGTGACGTAACACAAATGAATTGAAATTGAGCGTTGTTCAAGTCAGTAACAGTGGTAGTGGGGTGTAGAAATTGAATCGGGTGGGGGTAGAGAACAAGAAAGTTAAAATTGTAAAATATTACAATTGAGAAGACAAAATAATACTAATGAAGAGACAGAAGAAAAGATTAGGTCGAATTTACTTGTCGGCTAATAAGATAGATTACGTCCATTGCAAGTGTAGTGATTGGACGAACTTCTTCTGTATGCAGAATTCAGGACTTAGCAAGTGAATCACCATTGCTTCTGCAGTTTGAAAAAGTCTGATTCGTACACCTTTAGGAAAACTACTTCTTACTCTGTAGACGACTTTGAAGTTTGTTTGCGGTGTAGCTTGATGTCCAGATTCTATCAGATGTTCTAAGATGGAACTGCGGGGGCATCGATTTTCTCCTTTGTAAAACCATGTTGGTAAGTGTTCGGTGATACGCTTGGAAAGCGAGCGCTGGGTACTTCCGACATACCTGGCTCCATTTCCTCTCACACCATTGAATACAACTCATCCCCACCACCCCGAATGAAACTTGTATTCTGTTGACCATAAATACAATACACTATAGTGTGTCACCCTTTTGTCTATTCACACTACATCTTAGGTTCTGAATGACTGAGCATTTCTATCATACGTTCAATTGAGAATATTCAATACTGTGAACTATCATCACTCATATTATACATGTACCCCTACTTTCACACGCCTTTATTATAACAGTCATGGATTTATAAGTCTAGGGCCTGAGGAAGAAGAATGTGTGGAGAAAAGATGTTCGCTGCAAATCATTTTGTTCTGATTACACTATGGCAATTTTGTAGTAGTATTTGTTGCATTTTTCTTCTCTATGTTCCACTCTGATGATGGGAGTCAGCATAAAATGTAGTATGTCATCTCCTTTCTGACGAATCATGTGATTCATCTTGTCATGGAGTTACAATGTTGTTGTATCATTTCTCACGAGTACGTATTACGATTTAGTATGTGATCGATTAATCTTCTGTCTCACCTTGATCTTTGTCGGATAGTCAACGTATGAGAATAGTCATATCCAGCCGATAAGATGAATACATTCTCACGGCTGGTAGCCGACTTTTTTATTGTAAAGAAAATGTATAAATATGATGTTTTGTTTCCTAATAAATGTACAATACAGTAACTTATAGTCACCGGCCGGCTTTTGTCTCTTGTTATTTGCGTGGCTCAGTGAATCGGAACGTACAATGGACAAATAGGTATATTAGCACATACTAGACGAGTTCGTTACCGTTAGAACAGTTACCAGGCGCAGACACATAAATTGGTGACGGGTTTATTCAATTCAGTGCAGTTATAACAGCTCTTTGTTGAACATTATCTATTTGAATCTCTTTGTTCTTAACCCGTACATTCGCTTAGAAGCACAGTGACAGTGCATTTAATGCTATGCGGTCTAGGTACCTCAAAATTTGAGGTTTGCATTTTCTGTTGATGGCCAAGTTAAACTTTAAGCACCACTAACTGCCAATGTAGTGTGCCGCACCAATGACCTTAAAACGCTCACTCAGTAAGTTAGTGAAACCTGGCAAATAATGCCGTCATCATCAATAAAATATGCTCATCAAAGTGTTATGCTATTAAATAGGATATCTGGCAAGTTTCAGCTTAGGTTTGGGAAAGATTAAGTTACGCTTTAAACCAAGGACAAGTTAGGGTTAGGTTAACCTAATAAAGGCGATATTGGGGTTGGTTCGAGTTAGATTGCAGTTGGTCGAGGGATATTTTCACGTTAGGGTTAAGTTCAGCAAAGATTAGGGTTATTGTTAGAGTTAGAAGACTTATATAATTACATGCATAGAATGTGGTTAAATTACTCTGTTGATATAAGAACAGAACTTGTGCACTGTATAATTCCAATATGGGTAAGATTTATTTTGATAAAGTCACACAGTCATGCTTAGTGATGACGTTTCGACTACAATTTATTGCTCAAGAAATATTACTGTATTACACAATGAGAATTTATCAAAATAAATTCTACCCACAATGGAATTATACTCTGTTAATACTCCAACCTAAAATTGAAAGCTACGTTTATCACATGTGAGAGGAAGGTATCATCTGTAACACTTTTATCCAGTTTTTATGCAATTTCTTCATAAATATATGTATTCCATACACAAAAATGCCTCCTTCATATGATTCGTGTGTTCGAGGTCATTCGCTGATTGGTAGTTATTGGTGCTTAAAGTTTAACTTTGCCAGTTTCTTATTGCTAGATACTTTGTCTTTGTGTAGAATCTTCAAGTGTTAACATAAGCGAGTATAAATCAACTTTGGCGATATCGTGTTTATCCAAAGCATACTCCAATAACCCACAATGTTCCTCTTCCATTTCCATTAGCGAAATTCGTAGCAACAGAGGTTGAAATGTATTTGAAAATTCGCCTCATTATGCATCCCCTTCGTTTTTTTATTCCTTTACGTTCCCGGTGGAACATAGGGCTTCAAGCTAGAGGTTTGAAGTTTCAGTAGCAGTGGTATTTATTTTTACAGGATGGGGTTGCTAGCCTCATGCCCCCCAACCTTCCCTCTTTATCAGTCTTATTACTGGCTTAACGAGGTAAAGGAGTGCGTCGGTGGCCGGGAATCGAACCCCGGACCACCTGCGTGGGCGGTGAGCGCTCCACCTCTGTGCCACCAACGCACATCCCGTTTCTTCGTCATAATTATATTATCAAAACATTATGAAATGAAGTAAACATTGATGGATTGAGATGGATAGAAAGTTTTAGTAGCACAGTGATTTAAGTGGGCCGCCAAAAAAATTTCGCCTGAACAGCTATAACAAACCAATCGGATCATTGAACTGAGAGGGCACAAATAAACCACTTACACTCACTTGAGGTAATAAAAATCTTTTCTAACAATTCTAGAATAAAATCTTAAACATTTAAATAAGAGATGATGTTGTTTTGGTGCTTCAAAACTGTTTTATTGTTCGGTTAGATTGTTCCTATAAAAATGTTGGTGACCTCTGTCTTTTAGATTAACTAGGGATTGAGAACTCAATGTAATGAATGAAATATGTATATATATTTATATTTAATATTTGAATAAAAATATACTTTACATTTTTAGTTTTTAAATTATTATAAATAATTACAGTATCTGTACAATGATGGTGCTTTACGAAATGTGTTACCATTTTACTCCTAGAAGAGTTTATCTTTGAAAACAAACCTATAGGCTGTTTTCTATCTTAGAAGAACATACCTTCAGTCAAATCTGATGACGAATCGACTTTGGTCAGAGTATTGGATAGATGTTTAGTCCTCCTTGTATGGGACTCTTCTCAAGTACGCAGTACACACACACACACACGCATGAGTTCACGTGGCGTCGAATCCAGGAGAACACTTGAAAAATACCATTTAATCATCAACCGAATCATCTATAAGAGTTGGATGAAATAGCAGAGTAGACAGAAGAACTGTTATAAAATATATAATAAAAAATATTCTATCTAAAACAATACCAACTATTTTCCATTGTTCAACAATTCTCTCCTTTAAATCACGTTCTTTTAACTCGCCTTGTAATTGTCTTGCTGCTTTTGTTATATAACTAATATCTTGTTTAATACGTCTCAGTGATTGACGTTCTTTTTGACTTAATTTCGAAAGTTTATTCAAACTGATTGGATAGAAATGTTGTAAATGTGATGTAGACGGTTGAAGAAAATGCCGCCTCTTCTTCGTGTGATTGTTATTTTTTGTTAATTTTGTTTTATTTCTACTTGAAGATTGATTCCAGTAGAGTGATTTTGAAAAATCTTCTATTACCTGATTGTTTTTTGACGGTTTTTGTTTCGGTGGGATTGATACCTGAATAATCTCTTCTTCACAGTGTTCATGATAATGAGGAGGCGGATGAGGAGGAGGAGCACGATGCTCGTGGAGACGGTGATCTTGAGGCTGTTCATTATTATTCCAATAATTTAACAGGCTTATATTTTCTACATCAGTTTCATTTAACTGACAACTTATTATCCTATTATCATCTGAACAAATATTTATTGGTAAGGAATAACGTGAATGTGTCAAATCCGTATTAGATGACATGCTGTTTTGTCTATTATTATCTGATGAATGATTAAGAAGCATATCATTTGTATTTTGATAATATATAGGTGAATAGAAGATATCCCTTGGATGATAACATGTACAATTTGAATTGATCATTGAACACGTTGAACATTTCAATGGATTATTACTATTATTATTATTATCATCATTATCATTATTATCAATATTTTTATAAATCATTGATGATTGGTTATTAATATTATGTTTGTTTAAATCACTAGATATCATCATACCTGTAGAGCGAAGTTCAAATGATGCCTTAGCTATGTTTGGATAATATGTACAATATTTATTACTAGAATTAAAATAACGATCATAATAATTGTGTTGAGATAGTTTATTCCATTTTAGAGTATCATTGATTGACGACAGAGATCCAGATGCTGAATAATACAATGGATGATGTTGAGAATTTGACAGTTCTTTTAAACTGCTACTACTACTATTGCTACTATTAAAATGAATTGTTTGTTTTTTAAGAGTATTATTTACAGATGGCGTATTTTGTGATTCACATGGTATTGTAGGGATTTTTAAATGAACAGTTTCTTCAATCAATTCAAGTTCATCAATGTTGATACCAAGTAACCAGCCCATAAAAGCTGTAAACTGTATATGTGTAAAGAAAAAGAGGCCATTGTATATTAATAACAAATGTTGTCAGGCATACAAATGATATCAACATTGAAAACATACTTTAGAAATTGACTTTTCTATCAAAAACATTATTCAAATTACCGATGGACAAATTGTATTATTGTAGAAGCTTAATTGTGCTATTTAAACATTTATGTTCAAAAGCACAGCATTAGGCAAGTGAGCCGGGGAAAATCTACAGAAGAACAGATAGAAGAAGCGTTGGTGTTAAACAACTAACTATCCTATAAAATTCATTAGGAAGATCAGAAGAGGTCGAAAGCAAAATAAAAATGATGGTGAAACTAATAAGGATAACATAAATAGGAGAGAATATAAGTCATCTACAGTAGTTCTACTATATAAGTAAGGGACACCTGAGGCCCTACGTAGGATTCTCAATGAAGTGGGAATTAGGGTGGCATTCAAACCTACAAACTCACTCATGCAGGGACAAGCTCTGTAGGTCAACGGACCCAGTGGACCCAATTACACAAAATAATATAATTTACAAAATACCTTGCAATGACTGTGAGTTAAGTCAACTACATAGGTCAAACTAGTAGGTTAGGAGTAGTGATATTATCAGAACATAAGAATTTAGCTGAGGTTAGATTGACTGATCGCACAATGATAAGTAATTTAGAAAAAAAACTCAGCAATAGCACTGCAATAGGGTGGGACAGAGTCAAAATTCTAAAAAGTAATATAGTGAGGTGGAGAGAAAGAGATTGATTACTGAATCGGTGAAAATCTAGTCAGACACACGAAAAGGCATTCGTCATTCAACAGATAAAGGAAGCCTTACAAATCATAAAGAAGATTTGGTTAGTACTCTACTTCAGTTACTCATCTCTTCCTTCTGAATTCCTTAATCACTAACTAGATCTGAGTGGCTGTAGCATAGTGTGTTGTCAAGGCGTTGTAGTACTTCAGTCAGTTGGGAAAAACAGGGATACTTTAACTTAGCAGAATACTTTCTTCATATGGTCTTGTTTTCAATCAACTACATAAATGTGCTAGTGATATTATTTACTTTCAGGGCATATAGTCTAGAATTCTAAAGAAATCTCTGGTTTGTTTCACTTTGAATGAAAAGAGAAAACACATAGTTCAACGAAGAGCCTGTTCTCGGTGAATTCATTCACCAAGCTGTACAATCATAACTATATCCGATTTTTCCATGAAACAAGGTAGTAACACAAGTGATAAGTGGATAAGAAGAGTTGAGCAACTAAGTGTGTTAGAGTTACGCAATAAGATGAACAATTTTATTGAATGAATTGTTAGCATGATGATCATAGAAACAAAGAAAAATATGAAACTACTTAGGAGTTCTAAGGAAATACCATACTTATAAACATCTGAAAAATAAAAAAATAAAAATCGGGTTATTAGAAATCAACGAGGCTGTTACTACGATAGCTGGATAGTTTTCTTGTGTATGCATAGCTGTGTTTTCTCTGTCTGAATGGCTAGAGCTCTAGTATCGGAAAGGAGATAAAAAAGTATTGCCTTTGTCTGGTTGTTCTTCACTATGAAGTAGACGTTTGTTGAAATGGGATAACCAGTGTCGACGAGGTATTCGATTATCGCATTCCCTATGGAGAGAGCCAATACTACCTTTCTGCAACCATGAAGGATTATATTCTTGAAATGTTTTAGAGAGGATAAGCCACCTCGAATGACCAATATACCTGACTCCAGTGGAACAAGAAAACTGACTCTATGACACGACATGATTATGAACAATACATTTTTTATTCGAAATGTCATCCAGTAAATAATACTGTTTCACTGTGTGATATATCTAATAAACAAATTAGTATGATTCTGTGTTAACTGTCACTCTCCTGACTACTTTTTTATTTTTATTTACAGCTTGATTCCACACCGTATTTTCAGCACAAGTATGGAACTTTCAGCATGGATATCGGTAGCCCAAATTCAGGCCGACCATAGTTATCGGGTGTGCGCCGGCAGGGGATCGAACCCCGAACCATGTGCATGGTCGGCGAGAGTCCTAACCACTGTGCCACCGACGCACAATGCCTGCTTATCTTTATAGATAAATATTTCCAGGGTTTTAGTGAAATAAATTTCAAGCTATTAAGGGGTGTGGTGTTTAGTTGACATGCTAGATGTTAAATGTCACCTGACTCAAATCACCCTTTATCTGATCAACTAATGTAATCCCAGTGATTATGAAAATTGTCTTCTCCATACACTGAGGCATCCGTCTTAAAAACTTCTGTCGGCTGGAAGGAATTGAAGAATATCTTAATTTAATTTTAAACTATTCAAAAGCAGTTGAATGAGAAATATCATTAGACTCTTACAATTTAACCTGTCTGGTAGTTCTGAGTGGAACGGAAGCATCTCCATTCCACGCCGCCCCAACATTGCCGATAATCTTTCATCTCCTCCATGTCACCCTCGAACATTCGCCTAAATTGTCGTCTCCCAGTCTTGAGAATGGAGCACAGTGTCACCCAACGGTCTACCCGATCTACCTCCATTTTCTTCGTGATATTTCTTGAGCAATAGGCTCTTGATTGTTTTCTTCCCAGAGTTCATTGTTGCTAATTCTTTCTGACTAGCCATCTGGTCTTGAGCATGGTACGAAGGCTTTCTGTGAGGTGCCAAGTTCCTGACCCATATAGAAGAATTAATTTGACAATTGCGTTAAAAATCCGAATCTTGTCCTTTATGCTAAATGCTGTTCATTTAAAAACTGGTTTCAGAGTGATGAAGGTGTACCTTGCCTTTCCGACCGTGGTTTTGATATCCTCCTCCGTGCCGAATGCCTGTATAGTTGAAAGGATGCGGCGTAGATTTGTGAAGGAAGTAACCTCTTTCAAATTTCTCCCATTGATAATGATTGGTGCCTGTTGTTGTTGATTGATTATTTTCATTACCTCCATCTTCTCTATGTTCACTTAAAATCCGGTCTTTTCTGCCAGTTTGTTGGTTTCCACTCATAAGTCTTCGAATTTGAGACATTTGAATTAAATCATCCACGAAGTCCAGATCTTCTGTAGTTTTCTTATTGGTCCAGAGTATCCCTATCTTCTCCTTCTCCACGGTGTACCGTATAATCCAGTTAACGACAACAGGAATATCATCGATGATAGTAGTAGGCAATCTTGTCCTACTCCTGTTTTCACTTTAAAGGCTTTTCTGAGTCCTTCAAAGCCACTGTTATTATTCATGTAAACATTCACTCTACTTTTATATTGTTAGTAGTCAAAAGCGAAATCCAGAAAATATATCCCATAACTTTTGAAATAACGAAAACAATGTTTCTATTAAATACATTAAAAACATATTTAGGGTCCCAATAAGCCCTCATAATTAAGTAAAATCACTGTTGAACAGTTCTTTATGAATTATTTGCAACTGGACGAAACGTTTAACCAGTGATTATTTCTTCCAAGTAGTAGGTGCGTCGGTGGCACAGTGGTTAGGACTCTCGCCGACCATGTACATGGTCCGGGGTTCGATCCCCTGCCGGCACACACCCGATATCTATGGTCGGCCTGTAAATTTGGGCTACCGATATCCATGCTGAAAATTCCATACTTGTACTGAAAATACGGTGTGGAATCAAGCTGTAATCAAAATAAAAAATAAAATAAAATAAATAATTGAAATTATATCGAAGTGTATGGATGTGATTGTACAGCTGGGGGAGTGAATTCGCCGAGAACTAGCTCTTCGCTGAATTACTGATACACTGCTGGTTATCAGGCGAGTTGGTAGAGCGTTAAGTCATTGCGACCTGACCAGAAGGTCGTGGGTCTGAACTTCAGTGGATCCATACTGTGAAGAGTCTCAGACTAGTAAGAGACAGCTGTCCAGTACTCCTAGATTTTCCTATAACCGATGTTCAGTTCATGATGAAATCCTGAAACCAATACTTGAGTAATAAACAAATCATTACACTACTTATTCAAGAATGTAAAATTAACTTAGATGTTAATCATTTATACTCATATTCTGTCACAATGGTTTCCAAACTTTTGGTATATGTATTTTAAAGCAGTTGAAAAATACTAAAGAAATATGGGATGAGATTTAAAATGAAACTGAAGATTACCCTACAAATCTTCCGAAGTAATAACGATTTAGTCTTCATAATAATAATAATCATGCTTTGAAAGGAAGTTCTTGAAGTCCTAATGAGAAAGACTTAACTCGCTGGATGACCAATTCATACAGTGTGTTGAAAAATACTTCGACACTACTTTTTCATTCCTTTGTCTTCCGAGTGAACATGTCAAAGTCAACCAGCCAGAATCGGAAAGGCAAGATACGCACGCCTTCATCAACCTGAAATCAGTTTGGTAATCTTCTTCACTCAGCCAGCATATGGAACAAGATTCGAATTTTTAACACCACTATCAGGTTAGTCAGTTCTTCTATACGGGTCAGAAACTTGGCCAGCATGTCACGAAAAGGATTTCCAATAGGTTGCAGACTTTTATCAGCAGCTGTCCATTTCTCTGGCTGCGTACTGAAGATCAAATGGCCGGTCGGTCAGGAAGAATTAGCAAGAAGAAACTCTGGCTAACAACAAACCAACCAAGAGCCAATTGGTCAAAAAATGTATAGGAGAAATGGAGGTGGATCGGGCATACGCTGAGAAGCCCGTCAAATAAAATCGCGCGCAATGCAGGCCATCACTCGAGCGTACCCCTATGTGAAACGACGAGTGGGTCTTCAGTGCGAGGATGACATGGAGGATGTCGTATGGTGAGGAGAAGATGAAAAATTATGGGCATTCGTGGACCCAGCTGAAGAGGATAGCAGAAAATAGAAAAGAGTGGAGATGTGTTGTGAAGCCGTATTTTCTACTCGCAACCCAAGGGAGTAATAATAATAATAATTGCCTTCCGAGTAGAACATAGGCTTTAATCTTTAGCTTTGCAATTTTAGTAGCAAGGGTGTTTATTTTTTTT